CCTCCCCCCATCCCCCGAAGTTTGCTTTTTCGTGCCGGCGAAAGTAGCAAGGTGCCGATGCCCCTTGTAGGGTTTCCCTTGGTGGCGCGGCGGTAGCGTTTCGATATTCTTCACAAACGGAGATCATTTGGACTTGCGGTCAACGTCGCCCGGAGTAAGGGGTGGTGCGGGATATGGGGTGTTGCTGCACGTGGCCAGGGTATGGATTGTATATCGCTACTGCCAAGCTCAAAGATGATGCAACAAAAAAGTACAAGGTTCGTTTCTCATGGCGAACGCACAAGTTGACGATGTGGTCTCATTTCTATTGCTTCGCGAGGGTGCTTATTCAAAGTGGGTTGCGAGCACAGCAGCGGTGTTCTTGAAGCAAGACGCATTTATCGCCGTGTTGCGCTGGTAGAAGGACAACACTTTCTTATCTGTGTAGCCTACTCCTACGTCCTACGATTGACTTGTCCCCCCAGGGGCAACACGTCCGTGCTCGTGAGAATAGCCAAGGAGAGGCGGATCACTCCCAACAGCGACAGCGACGGCGATAGTGATGGGCAGTCACAAGCGGAAGAGGTCACGCGTGAGGGGCGGAGCAACACGCAAGTCAAGCACGTGCAGATAGACACAGGGAAGACATGGCGGGAAGGCGCCATCAGATGGTTCCCGAGGTATGGACCAGCATGGCATCACGCACCGCAAAAACTGCACGTTAAGAGCATTGAGCTGCTGGTCGACTTGAGTTGCCCGTGAGGCTTTCAACGGCGATATATCTGAGTGTATGGGGTGTTCCTCTGCCCACTGTTGCCAACTACCTGCTATCCAGGCACGGGGTGCGTGGATTGGACGGGATCGTCTTGACGCACGATCATGCGGACGCCATGCTTGGCCTTGACGATGTTCGGAGCATACAGGTATGCTCGCAAGAACTGGTACCATCTGGTTGCCAACTTTGGCATTGCTTGTTATGACGCCATGTGTGTTGATGTGGTCGTGGCCCTGGCGTCCAAGACTTCCAGAGCACAGGTATGCCGTATTGGTGGCGAAATGTTTATCTGCCGTTCGTCACACTTCTCGTCACATGTTGCCATTATCTGTGGTAACATTCCAACAATCTCATGCTTGGCATCGATAATGTGAGGAACACACGTACCGCCATCGTCCACTCGAAAGTCTATTGTTTCAAACCGCAACAATGCGTGCGGATGTGCTTGTCGTTCTGTTTGTTCTGGGCATCAGTCTTTTTTTGGGTCAGTACGTTTTTCTGGACGCATCATCCGGGATCAAACGCGACTTAATTTTTTTTCCGCCTTTGTTCTGTGATGCTTTTCCGTTTTTTATTGTACGAAGCTTTCAGGCCCTCTTTTCCCTCGTCGACTGTGTCGTCGAGTTGTTGCGTATAAACGAAACGCGCGTATAACCCATGTCCGTGTGACTGCGCCGAGATCATATCGCACGTCTTAATATTAGGAGGTCACGGTTGCCAAATGCGCCATTTCAGCCGCTATTGAGTGATCAACCACGGTAGTGCGCTACGTTGGTGGGACCGTGCTTACATAAATGATCAAAGACCATGGTGAAATACATGCAGTACCATCATCGAACCAGTGGTATTGCAGTTTAGGGCACCTGCGGAATATGCACGGCTAAGCTCTGGCGCTGTGTTTTACCGCGCCTTTTTTGTTGCGTCCTGCTTGAGCGTTCGGCCGATATTGTGAAAAAATGAAGCATATGGTACCTGCCGGCGCATGAACGTTCCAACCGCACGAATATATATCGGTAGAAGTAGTATCACGCGCAACACGTCCGTGGTGGTACTGATAGCTGGATTCCTATGGTTCCTATGGTTCCTATGGTTTCTATGGTTCCTATGGTTCCTGTGGTTGGGGTTAGCATTCGATAGGCTCTTATTCCTCACAAAGGATCTGCTGTCGATCACACCGCTCTAGTATAATTGTCGATGGCGTGACAGGCACTGCGCTGTCATTATCGCAGGAAGTATCTACAATACTCCTCTTCGGAAGTTTGGTCGATGACCAGGGCCCCACAATCCAAAGGTATACGTTTCCCCTATCTTCCCTGTCACCCTTAAATCCTACCTCGCAGGACTCAAGGAAGCGAACTCCAACACCTGTCCACGTGTCCGAAAGAACCGACCGGTCTGTACGAAGGTAAAGAAGGGGGAGATTGACAAGAAAGACAGATGGCAACTTGAGTCAAAGGCACAAGAAGGAAACGCGTTCACATGTTTTGGATGCTCCGACTGTTTGTGTGTCCTTCTTCGCCACCCGATGATACACCGACGACTAGTTCGTGGCGTGTGCGTGCGGTCACTGGCACTTGTGTATCTTTGACCTCTCTATTATGTTTTGTATTGTAAACAGAGCAGTAGCGTTGTCAAATCGAACCTTGCCGAAATGCAACGTAACAGGGACAATCGAAGGCAAAGCCGGAATCCCGTAATGAACCGTTATTAGACATTCATTGATACTCCTTCTACTTCGATGTATTTCGCGATCATAGCACACACGTTAATGCACACGGAAAGCCGTCTTGATGACAATTGTGTTTTGGCAGGGTTTTTCCCTACTTGGTGGGCCGTGAGGATGACAACGGGGCGGGCGGGAGGTTCGTGGCGGCCTTGAACTTCAACGTCTTTCAAGATTTCCAGCCGTTCGAGGTCCGTTGCTTTCCCTCCGTCGATAGATTTTCCAGCAGCAATTCGCGTTGGCTCTTCTTTCATTTGCTCCCCCTCAAGCAATTTTCAGTCTGTTAAGATCTCGGGGTACTGTGAGGGTCGTTGGTGAAGCCAATGGTCACTTGAGGGAGGGTGTTTTGCCTTGTTGGTTTGAGTCGCACTTCGAATATCTTCCAAGGTATTCAAACTTTCGGGGCCGGCTAGGTTTTCCCCACAGGGCGGCAAGACCGCGCTTTCGCCTGCTTTCCTTTGCCAGCCTTTCGTCGACCGATTGATGGAGTCAAAGGTTTATTTGTTGTCTTTGATCGCTCTCTTCCATCGGTAGAGTGACCACCGTGTAAACCCGATGGCAGCTGTCTTGTCCTGGGAAAAAAGTCGCGTTGGCGCTATAGGTATCACTGACGATGAAGGCATGTTGCTGACACATTCGAAACTGGTTACGGTCCACACGTCAGCAAACAATGCTTCCGAGACAATGGCGCCGGTTGTCTTCGTTTATTTCGGCAAGGAATTCATGGTGTGCGGAGTTGTTCTTGTTGGTTTGTGATGCTGATACAGACGGATAGGTGCTGTCAAACGTTGAGGCTCTCCTCATCGCGGTCCTTCACACTAATCACGTTGGATGGACACAGACAGATATGTTTAAGCGGAAGTCGCACACCTCCACGTTTACGTAACGAAAATCGCATACCGATGGTGTCGTTTTGTTTGTGCCGCGTCTTGCACTTTTTTCCACGCTGTATACCCGTATGCTATGCTATGTCAGGTTGGAGGGTTGGAAATCACTCCGTTTCCGGTGATGCACGGAGAGGACTACGTCTCCCACGGGTTTCTGTTCGGTCCAGAAGGGAACAAGATCTGCTACATCTCCGACGTCAGCCGAGTGCCGCCGGAGAGCATGGAGTTTTTGGAGAAACACGGACCAATGCAGCTGCTGGTCTGCGATGCTCTCATGGTGTCCAAGAAGCACCGCACTCACTTCTGGTGAGATTTTTAAAGAAAACATTGTCTTAATTGCTCGTTCGTTTGTGTGTGTTGCCCTGCCATTGCCGCTCTTCCGCCCAACATTGTGTAAATAACGTCCAACACTTGCATACCGAACTTGCTGGGCGATGGTAGTTCGTTGCTCCCACGCTTTTAAATCAAGGAGCAATTTGTTCTGGCGCGAAAGTTTTGGATGCAACTGCGGTGTGCTCACGGACGTTTATTTGCGATGTGCAGTACTTGAATTTCCGACTCCATTGTTGAGGAGGTTGCTTTTATGCTGCTGTAGCCCACATGGTAAAAGATTGAGCACCACTTGGAGATATTTCCGTTGCTCATCCCTCAGCGAGGCATCCCCAGCAAGAATCTTCGCCCCTTGCCACCGCTTTGGTATCCCTAATTTGGTTGATGGTAGGCGATTGGTTATTATACCATACATTATACCATACATTATACCATACATGTTGTCTCACAACCATGGCTCTCGACACAAGCATGTGGGCTTAAAGAAACAAGGTATCAGTCCAAGCACCCCCGCTCCCCGTGTTCTGATATCCTTTGATCGGGACGAGGTGTATGGGCTTGGGTAGGACACGTGTGTACTGCATAAAACGACCAATACAGCAAGGGTATGCACGAAAACAGTTTCAAGACACATCGGCCTACTAATCGAAAATCGGGGTCCGTGGGGGGGGAGGGGGGGGAGGGGGGGGCATTTGGAGTGGAAGTGTGTGTACTCATAGTCGTGCATGCCGTGTCGTTAGACCATTGACCTCGCATCCCTACAAAGCCGGGACGGAGCACGCCGGGTTCTCACCGGACCAGGCTCTCACATCACCAAGCGCGAAGCGCCGTGAGTTATTCGGCGAGTCGCATGACGGGTGCGCTACATCCTGCTAAGGGTGTTAGGCATCTTGTGCTTACTTCCTTGC